GATCTTTCTTAGCACTTATCTCAGCTTATAATTACACGCCATTAGCATGATGGTGGGATTAATATCTGTTTCCATGGGCAGACTGTCAGCTCCTCAGGGGTCTGTCTCCAGTCTCTACTGTATGCCAGGCCTCAAGTGCCGCTCGACAAACAAGAATAGCTGCAAAGGCAGATGCAGCTATGATCTGGTGCCAGGAGGCCTTCAAGCAGCTTTGCAGGGATTATTACCGCATTTGCTCCTTGAAATGGCCCCGGAGGAAGCCAGTGCTGTGCTGAGCCCGTGAGCTGTCCCTCAAGATGATGAGATGAAGACTGACATCATTTAAGCAAGTTCCTCCAGCTATGTGGAGGAGCCACACTTTAAAACGGACTTTTGAATTTCCTTTCTTTTTAAGATTTTTGCTTGTTTGGCTGGATGATTTTTATTTTGACTTCTTTTGAGACAGAGTCCCACTATGTAGCCTTGGCCCATCTAGATCTGTTTAGACCAGGATAGACTCAAACTCACAGAGATCCACTAACATCTGCCTTTCAAGTGCTGGGATTAAAGTGTGCATTACCATCATGGAGATATGGTTGTTACATTTGATTCTTAATTTGGATTGTATTTTGGGGGGGGGCAAGGAACCAGATCAATGAACAATAAAGGAATTATTGTCAAAATGAAAAAAAAATAAAGTGTGCATTACCATACCCAGCATCCTTTTATTACGAGTTTTATCTCTACTTTTTATTTGTGTGTGTGTATGTGTGTGTGTAATGTATGTATGTATGTATGTATGTATGTATGAATGAATGTATGTATGAATGACTGAGTGACTAAGGAGGCCAGAAGAAGATGCTGGAATCCCTGGAGCTGGAGCTGTTTAAGGTGAGTTCTGGGAACTGAATTCTGTTGCTCTGGACATATATGCTTTAAAAAAAAAACAAACAAAAAACTTTTACTATCTTATGTGTATGAGTGTTTCGGCTGCATGTGTATATATGCACATGTGTGCTTGGCAGCCATGGTCAAAAGAGATCAGATACTCTGGAACTTAAGTTACAGATGGTTTTGAGCCACCCAATGGGTGCTGGGATTTAAACCCAGGTCCTCTGAAAGAGCAGCCAGTGCTCTTAACCAACAAGTCATCTCTCTGGCCCCATGTACATGCTTTTTACTACTGAGCCATCTCTCCAACCTAGACTTTCCCTCTTTAAAATTAGCACACAAAGGAATGGGTTTCCTCATTACACACATCGTCACGATTGTTCTGGTTGGCCCACCCCACGTGGCATTTCTGTGGGATCTGGGGACTCCAAAGGCTGACCCTCAGACTTGTGCAGCAAGTGTTTAACTGCTCAGCCAGCCTCTCCTGCCCCTGTCCCAGGGTTTCACTACCCACTCGTGCTGTGCACCTCAGCTCCATTTCTTAGTGTGAACAAGACTGGCAAAGGGCAGGCATGTGGTAGGGCACGGGGGTCTTTTTGTTATACGCCCAAGGGTGGTACAGCTGGGTAGTTTTAGAACACAGTAGTTCTATTTTTAGTCTTTCAAGAAACCTCCACACTGACTTCCACAGTATGTTCAACAGTGAATAACGGCTCATTTTCCCCTACATCATTGCCGGCATATGTTGCTACTCAGAGTCACCACCCTTTGCCACCATAGACATTCCACTGCTAGCTAATGAAGGTCTGTGATTTTCCAGTCCTCCACTCTCAGTGTCCTTTGCCCATTTCTGGCCACATGCTCAGGCATGGTTTTGACTAAATGCCTCAGTTAGGTTTTGCTTGGTGTTTTCCTCATAATTATGATAGGATTATAAGAATCATCACAACTAGGGCTGAAGAGATGGTTCAGCAGTTAAGAGCACTGACTGCTCTCGCAGAGGACCTGGGTTTGAATCCCAGCACCCTGACTTCACTTCAATTCCCAGCAACCACATGGTGGCTCACAACCACCTGTAATAGGATCTGATGCCCTCTTCTAGAGTGTCTGAGGACAGCTACAGTGGACTCATATGCATAAAATAAATAAATCTTTAAAAAAGAATCATCACAACTAATTATGAAATTATGGACTATGGCACGAGAGCTTTATTAGATTCCTAGGGAGTCTAATGCCTAAGGAGATTTCCTATTATAATTTTTGAGACAGGGAATCATAAATGGTCCTGGTTGTTCTAGAACTCACAGAGATTTGCTTGCCCCGGCCTCTGACGTGCTAGGATTAAAGGTAGGTAGTAACTTAATTGGCATCCCTGGATTTTGAGCTTAACATTCTTGCTTTTCTCATAATTCTGTACTTTGTAGCAGATAGGAGTGTGGTGTGAAGGGCCTGAGTTGGAGTCCTACCTTCTCCGAGTAGTAGCTGTACAGCTTTGAGAAGGGCCTCAGTGAAGTTCTCAGATGGGTTGTGTTTCTATTGAGCCCTCGACAGCAGAGCATCGGGCTTGTAGTGCGTTATATAAAACACTTGGACCAGTGCCCAGCACACAGTGGTATGTGCGCAGAGAACTAGGAGATGAAGTTGGGTCTTCTTGCTGAGAGGCTCCAGATCTGACCCCTCACTTCCTGGTGGCTTTGAGAACATTTTGGATGAGGGAGCAGAAATAGTGTCAAGAGCAGGAGGGACGGAGGGAGTGCTGTGAGATGCTGTGTTCAGGATGTTGTGCGGCCGTCGCACTCATAAACTCACAGCAGCTAAAGTCTCCTGCCCAAGATCAAGGCAAAAAGATCACTCAGCACTCCAGCAGGAAGCACTAACTGGACTCGGTCGGTTAGTGGAGTGGGGGTGGGGTATGAAAGTATATGGATATGTGTTGGGGTGCCTTGTGGGAGTGGGTGGGAGTGGGTAGATATGATTGACATGCAATGCTTATTATGTATTAAATTGCTACAGAATAAAAGATACTTTTTATAAAAATAACATAAGAAAAAAATCCTCACATCTTCTCCATGTCCCCAGCAAGATGCGGCTGCTTTTCATGAATCTCAAATACTGCAGTACCTGCATATAGGATGCATACGGATTTGTGTTTGCGGATACATGCTTGTGTGTGCATTTGTGGAAGCTAGATGTCAGCCTCAGGCATCACTACTCAGATGCTCTATGTTTTTGAGACAGTACCCTTCATATGTGGTTCATGAAGAGGCTAGACTACCTGAAGAGCAAGACCTGGGGAGCCTCCCGGCTCTGCCTCCCCAATGCTGGGATTACAGACCTGGACCACCAAGCCCAGCTTGTGCACATGGGTGCTGGAGTTCCAACTCTGGTCCTCATGCTTGCAGGGCAAGGACTTTTCTGAGTCTCTCCCTTCACAGGTTTAATTACATTTGAGTTGTGTACAGGTGTGCACATGTCATAACGCATGTATCTAGGTCAGAGAACACATTTGCATGCGTGTGTGCTCAACTCAGGGTGCACATGTGGAGGTCAGAGGATAACTTTCTGAAGCTGGTCCTCACGTGGGTCCTGGGGATAGAACTAGGGTCCTCAGCCTTAGCAGCAAGTGCCTTTACCCTCTAAGCCATCTTGATGGGCCCTCCTCTTCACAGTTTTCAGTTTGTATTCTAGAAACAACCACATTCTTGGGTGCCAAAGTCTGGATTCACCTGCTGGGGATGTTGTCACAAATCACTGCCAGGTGCTTGGACAACAAACCTGTCGCCTTATGGTTCTGGATGTTTTAAGTATAAAACACAGGTTGAGCATCGTCATTCCTTCCTTCTGAGGCTTGAGGCTGGGATCCACCAAGGGGCTTTCTCTTTAGTGTACAGATGGCTGTGTTCCTGTGTCCCTCTGTGCTGTCTTCTCTCTATGAGAACCGTCTCTGTGTACCAATCTCTCCCTTTCACTACTTGGGCGGAATTAGCACCAATCCTGGTGACCTTTCTTTGATGTGATTATCTCTGTAACTATCTGGACTCTTGAACCACACATATCACTGAGGCAGGAGGATCACTCCAAGTGTGCAACCAGCCTTGGCCACATAAGTTTTAGGCAAGGCAGGACTTCAAAGCAATATCCTGTCTCCAAACAAACAACAAAACCATCTTCGGAGCTGGATGGGGTAGGACACACCTGTAATCCTAGTACTGAGAATATTAACCTGGCTACATAGTGAGACGATGTCTCAAATTTTAAAAATAAAATAAAGCAGGAGAGGAACTACTTAGGACTAGGTAGAAGGATGGGGTCGGGAAGATGATGGAGAAGTGGTCCAAATATATTTGTATAAAATGTCACATGAGGGATTGGAGATATGGCTCAGCAGTTAAGAGAGCTTGTTACGGTCTGGAGCGATGGCTCAGAGGTTAAAAGCGTGGCTGTTCTTCCAGAGGTCCTGAGTTCAATTCCTCAGCAACCACATGGTGGCTCACAACCGTCTGTAATGGGATCCGATGCCCTCTTCAGGTACACAGGTGTATATGCACATAGAGCGCGCATAGACAAAAAATAAATAATTTTTTTTTTTTAAAAAGAGAACTTGTTACTCTTGCAGAGGACCCGGGTTTGGTTTCCACTCACATGGCAGTAGTTTCAGGGGCTGTGACACCCTCTTCTGAACTCTGATGACACCGAGCATGCACAGACATGCAGTCAAAATAGTCACACATAAAATAAAGATCAATAAATCTAAAAAAAATATATATGTCCGAAACCTGACTTTTTATACAGTGAACATGAATGCAAATGTGTGTGCGCGCACACACACACACCTACACACGCACACACGCACACACACTCACACACCAAACTGTAACGAAACGCGGTTGTATTCGGAGTCTGAGAGTCCCTGGTGCATGTACTTTTAGGGAGGAACAAGATCAAACTGTGGTGATGTCTGTGTTCTGGACCGTTACTCTAAGTTCTTGCCTGCCACCTGTGGGGGCACATGAACAAGTGACTCAGGACAGACGGTAGCATGTGGCCAGTGAGTGGAGAGGACTGGGCTTCCTTGCTCCACCTCAGAAAGCACAAGCTCCAGCACAGACAGGCTCTGAATCAAGAGCTCTGTCACATCCTCAAACCTTTAATCCCAAGTCAGATGACAGTGAAGCCGGGCTCTTCCCTGTCCCACCAGGCAGTCGGAGGACATCTCTCCCTTGAGTGACTTGGACAAAGAAAGCTCCCAAAGCCTTCTGGGACCCCTGCCCTTTCACAGCTCACACCCATCTCTCTGTCAGGTCCCTAGACAGGTCCCCCAGGGAGCCCCATTTGCATATGGCCTCTTCTCATCCTACCTCAAGTAACCCAAATTCATCTACCAAGAAAAAAAGTGTGTGTGTGTGTGTGTGTGTGTGTGCGCGCGCGGAGGTCAGAGTTTATCATCAGGCATCTTCCTCTGTTGTTTCTGCCTTATATCTTGAGTCGGAGTCTCTCACTGAACCTGACCTCATTGATTGGCTAGGCTAGGTGGTCAGTGAGCTCCAGGGTTCCTCTAATCTCTGCCCTCCCAACACTGGAATTACAGACATGTACTGCTGCACTGGCTTTCAGAGTGGGTTCTGGGACTCAGACCTCAAGTCCCCAAGCTTGCTCAGCAAGCGCTTTACTTACTGAGGCATTCTCCACACCCCCAAAGCATTATTTACACAGAGAAGATGAGGGACCGAGACACCTTGTGAAATGGGTCCCCCAGAGTGGGGAAAAACAGTTTCTTTGGAAGAGAGATGAAAAGTCCTGAGGAGAAAGCTGGAAACTGCGGCAGGGTTGGCAGACTTCAGAAAGCAGGCCAGAGCTCTAGACAGTCGGGCCACCCCGTTTGGGGCACAGTGACCTCCAGGGCCAGGAAGGCATGGTGAGCAGGAGGAAAAAGACTCCTCCCAGCAGCAGGATTAGACCAGCGCCCACACCACAGCCTAGGGACCAGGAATACTCATAAGCCAGGCGTGGAGCTGGAGGGGTCTCAGGGTTGACTCCCTTCAGCAGGGCTCTAACGGAATGCCGGAACACCTCCAGGCTGACAAACAGCAGCAGGCCTGTGCAGGAAGAAGAGAGTGAGGCTCTTAGCTCCAGTCCAGGTTTAAGACTGTCATCCTTCATTCCTTTATCAACCAAGGGGAACTGAGGCTCCTCTCAGTCTTTCCTCAGTCATTCAACAGTCATCTTACAACAACCACAAATGGAGGGCTGGAAATATTATGTCTGTACTTAACACGCAGACCTTTCGACCTTCCCTTCCTCTCCCCTCCCCTCCCCTCCCCTTCTCTCTCTGACTCTCTCTCTCTCTCTCTATCTCTCTCTCATGTGTGTGTGTGCACTTTCCCCCTGCCGTGTGTGTGTGTGTGTGTATGTGTGTGTGAATGTGTGTGTGTGTGTATGTTTATGTGTGTGTGTGTGTGTGAAGGCCAGAGGTCAATGTCAGGTGCCTTTCCCAATTACTTTCCACTTTTTTTTTTCTTTTTTTTTTTTTTAGTATTTTTAGGTCTTGTGAGGCAGATCCCACAGAGGCTCCCCTGGGACTGGGGTTAGATCGCTGTGAGGAATTGAACCAGAGTCCTCTGGAAAAGCAGCCGTATTCTTAACCACTGAGACACCTCTCCAGCGGTAGTCACCTTTAGTTTTAAAGGAATTGTTTATTTCTTGGTTTGAGACAAAGTCTTGCTATGTAGCTCGGGCTGTTCTCCAACTCACGACTCTCTTGCTTTAACATTCTGGGTGTTAGGATTATAGGTATGTGTCACAATACCTAGCTAGCTTTCTATGGCTTTTAAAAATCACTTCAGAGAAATCCTTAGATACTTCTAGCAGAGAACACAAACTAGACACCACTGACCTGGTGTTGCCGTGCTGTACCTTCTGAAACAAATACAGGAGGAGCAAAAAGTATTTCAGAATGTGATACGTGGCAGGAAGAAATAAATTAAAGGGGTGTGTCAGCGCGCACTTGCGTGCGTGCGTGTGCGTGTGCGTGTGCGTGTGCGTGTGCGTGTGCGTGTGCGTGTGTGTGTGTGTGTTATGTGAGTGCAATCCCCAGAGTAGCCAGAAGAGGGCAGCAGATCTTCTGGATTGGAGTTACAGGCAGTTATGAGCAAATGCTTTTAAGCATTGAGCAATCTTTTTAGCACCTCCAAAAATTTTTGTTTGAGTAGGGAGAATCAGGAATGATTGTGCATGCCTATAATGCCAGTACTAAGGCAGGAGGATTGCCTTAACAAGGCCAGCCTGGGGGCTCATAGAGTCTAGGTCAGTTATGGATATGAGAAAACAAATGACAACAAATGTAGACAAGGATGTGGGGAATGGGAAACCAAATTCACTGTTGGTGTGAGTGTAAAATCTGACAGCTGCTTTGGAAATCAGTGTTCCAGGGTAAAAAATTTTTTAAAAGTAGGCTGAGCAAGCCAAGAAGAACAAGCCAGAAAACAGTGTTCTTCCACGGCCTTGACATCAGTTCCTGTCTCTTAGTTCCTCCCTGCTTCGGTTCCTCCTTTGACTTTCCTTAGTAATGGACTGTTACTTAGAAACATGCGATAAGAGAAACCTTTCCTCCCCATGGACATGGTGTTCGTCACAGCAATAGAAACCCTAAGGTGACAACATCATCACTAATGATGCAATGGCACCATCACCATCACAGCTACCACATAGGCATTAACATCTACCACCATCATCTCTAGAGTCACCACCATTATCATCACCACTGTCATCACAACCCATGGACACCAGGGTATCCATCGTAGCCATCACTACACTATAACCTATGTCACCACTGTCATCACTTTTACTGTCACCACCATCATCTCAATCACCGTTATCATCGCCTACCACCACCACCACAGCATCAGTACCATCATAATCACAATCATCACCACCTTCCACCATCTCCATCACCATCAATTCTATCATAATCACTATATCACCATCACCCACGTCACCATTACCCACATCATCACTCCCAGCACCACCATCATTACCAACACTGACACATCACCATCCTGACATCACCCACTGCCACTTCAACTGTCCTTACCATACTCCAGACAACTACTATCCTTTGAGAGTCAGCTTAAATGTCACCTTCTTGGGGAGTTTCTTTGCCATGCACTCCCATGACAGTGTGGCTTTCCTACCCATCCTCATCACAACCGTAGCTGAACTGTTATACATGTAATTATTAGTCATTACCAGCCAGAGTGAAGAGCACTTGATAGCAGACATGGCATCTTATTTGACTTAGTCTTGTGTCTCTAGTGTCTCCTAGACACAGCAAGTGCTCACAAGCACACAAGGAATAAAGAAGTAAAGCTTATATAATTAACAGTTTTTCTAATCTGGCTAAACAATGAAGCACCAGATAACAAAAGGAACTTTCCGATGACACGCCATGATTCAGAACACACCTAGCACCCTGGGTAGAGCATAAAACACATTGTCTCCAGTTAAGCATTCGCTCTAACCCTACAAAGACCTCACAGGAACAAAGGTCTCAAAATTCAATGAAGCCGAAGTGAAAAAGAGGTCAAGAAAGCTTAGCACCAACCCTTGTCTCTGGGTGGCTTCCTGCACAAGGCGTACTGGAGACCAGTCCACCAACAATCCATCATGGAAGGGGGACATATAGATAGTTAATGATTTCTGGCCAAGGAGAGATACATTCCTCAGTGATGCTGTTGCCACTGGCGAGTTGCCTTTGGTTAAGTAAATAATCCTCGGAGCTAGAGAAATGGCTCAGCGGTTAGGGGCACTAACTGCTCTTCCAGAGGTCCTGAGTTCAATTCCCAGCAACCACATAGTAGCTCACAACCATCTGTAATGGGATCCAATGTCCTCTTCTGGTGTATCTGAAGACAGTTACAGTAAAATAATTAAATCTTAAAAAAAAAAAAACCCTTTACTCACGTAGGCAACCCTAATTAAATGCAGCAGGGAACAAAACCAGCCATAAATGTAGAAGGAGGATTTGCTGGAAAGAAGGGTTTTACCAGGAGAGGGACAAGGGAAGATAGATGCATGGGGTAGGGATATGAGCAGAATATACATGGATATGAGTTTGTGTGTATAAGCATGGCTGTAAATCTGTGAACAAATTTTTTAAAAAGTCCCACCGCTGCCATTAGTCACTTGACTTTTCTGAACCTCAGTACTCTTATCGACAAAATGATAACTTGTAATCTTTGGGGCTGGAGAGGTGGCTTTGTGGTTAAGAGCACTTGCTCGTGCAGAAAACCCAGGCTGGGTTCCCAGCACTCACATGGTAGCTCAGAATCATCTGCAACTTCAGTTCCTGGGAATCCAATGCTCTTTTCTGAACTCCTCAGGCACCATGTAAACTCATGGTGAATGGACATACATGCAAAAACCCACATTCATACAAACAAACAAACAAACGGATCTGGAGAGATGGCTCAGCCATTAAGTATACTGGCTGTTCTTCCAGAGAACCAGGGTTCAGATCCCATCATCAACAATCCAAGATTTGACACCCTCACACAGACACACATGCAGGCAAAACACCAATACACACAAAATAAAAATTGAAAATAATAAACATTGGCGACCTTTAGCTAGTCCACTCGCTGTAATGCTTTGAGCTAGATGTAAACTGAAGTCTTTGTTATTACTGAGGTCTACATTTCACAAGATGTGGCATTTTTTCCTGCATCCTCACCTACAAGAATACAACACAATACCTGCAGACTCCAAGTCCAAAACTCAAAGACTAGAAACCTTCTGTGATGGTGTGAATGGGTCTAGCCTCCATAGGTTCATGAGTTTGAATACTTGGCCATTGGGAGTTGCATTTTTAGAAGATGTGGCCTTAATGGAGGAAATGTGGCCTTGTTAGAGGAAGTGCGTCACTGTGGGGGGCGGGCTTTGAAGTCTCCTAGGCTCAGGCTCTGTCCAGTGCGGGAAAACTCTCCTCCTGGCTGCCTTCAGATCAAGATGTAGACTTCTTGGCTTCTCCAGCACTGGAAGCTGCCATGCTCCCTGCCATGATGATAATGGATTGAACTTTTGAATTACATGTTTTCTTTATAAGAGTTGCCTTGGTCACGGTAACTCTTCACAGCAATAGAACCCTACAACACCTCCTGAATGGCTTGAGGCTCTCTCGTCTTTAGTCCTACTCAGCCCAGGAGCTTCTCAAAGTCCTGCCTAAAGCTCCTACTACTATACAACCGTGTTGGAGATTCCAGGCCAAATCTAAAAGAACATGTAGAAAGAATGCAAATGCCATGTACCAACAGGCTTAGAATGTTCGTAGCTTTTAGATTTTACATGAACTTGCTCCAAATCCTGACATGCAACAGTACCTGGAGCTCAGCCCCTCCCCTTGACATGAAGCAATCCTTGGTGATCCCATGTCCAAACTTAAATAGTATTTGAAGACAGTCTACTCCTCTGTCAACAACAGGATTTGGAAGTCCATCTTTGAGCCTACCACAGCCCTTGAACTGTCCTCCCCTCTACTCCCAGCATAGTGGAGAGCCCATTCTCAGTGTGTAAAACATTCTTGGCACTCCCAGCTCCAAAGCTAAAATAGCATTAAGTCTAAATAAACCTTGCCAGAAAAGTCCTTGGAATTCTTCCACCTTTGAATATACTAGAACCATTGGGTTTCTCCTCATTTCCAACAGGCTTGGAGATTCTACTTCCCAGCCTGGAACATTATATGGAGTTCCCACTGCTCAACACTCAAATATGTGTGGGGAGCCTAACTTCCAGCATGCAACAATTGATAGAGATCCCTGAAACAGTGTGTGGAGCTCCACCTCCCAGCATGCAATAGAGTCTTTCCACCTCTAGGCACATAACTGTGTGTGGAATCCCACCTTCCAGCATGCAACAGTGTGCAGAATCTCACCTCCCAGCATGCAGCAGTGTGTAGCAACCTCACCTCCCAGCATGCAGCAGTGAGTAGCGACCTCACCTCCCAGCATGCAGCAGTGTGTAGCGACCTCACCTCCCAGCATGCAATGTCCTTGGCCACCACACATTCAGCCCTCACCTGAGAGGCCAAAGCAGACAGCTCCCAAGCGGAGCAGGAACTCTGCACCTTTACTGAGCACCATGATGACACAGAGGCAGCCCAAGGCCATGGCTGTCAGGCCCAACACAGCTATCACGGCAGCTGCCAGGTTTACCTCTGCAAGGAGGGGCCAAGGAATAGGTAGAGAACATGGGAATACTAGAATAGATAGTACTCCTCCATAAGAACCAGAATCAGAAAGATGGAAGGCTTCAAAGTCCTCCTGAAAGTGTGTTACATTGTTGAAGGAATGGAGACCTGGATGGGTCAGTTAGTTACTAGGCTCAGGTTAGAGCACAAAGGGGACAAGGCCAGATCAGGGATACTGGGATAACCAGCTACTACTTATCCTTTGGTCATGACTAGATTATGAAGTTGAGGGAACAGAGGTAAAGGTGATTCATTATATTGCAACCATCTAGGCTGTAAATCTCCCCAACTACTCCCCAGCTGGAAAATCCTGTTAAGGTCCTACACCCCCTGTCAATCTTAGGTTCTGGAAAATCAGGATTTATAAGTGCCCCAGTGTGGTGCACACACATAGTAGGTGGTTGATATGATTTTACCAAAGGTACACAGTGACCTGACCCAGCTCACACGAGACAAGAATGTAAAAGGTAAGGGGCGCTAGTATACACCTGGACTCGTATGTTTAGCTGCTTTGCCTCATTAAATTCTCATTTTAAAACAATACAAAGAATGGGAGACATGGAATGATTCCAGTTTCTTTGTGGAGACACTGGGGCACTGGAGTGATGTTCGAGAAGCCGGGCTTAGGGTAAAAAGGACAAAGTCCTCAGAGTTGCAGTACTGAGTACAGTAGAATCTACCAGACATCATTTTAAGTTCACTTAAGTTAAAATTAAAAATGCATGTCTTCCCTTTACACCAGCCACCCTCTGTGTACCAGGCTGTCACACGTGACTGGAGGCCATCATAAGGAGCAGTGTATCCATGTAACATTTTCATTTTTCACGTACAATTTTGTAGATTCAGACTTATTTGGGTTGGGATCTTGCCTCTGCCCTTTTGTGGGAAAAGAAAAGTAATTCAACCATTTCTGACTTGTTTTATCCGATGAGTAATGAATCTGAAGTCCAAGCCTTGCTGGCTTGTAGCAAGGGCTAAAACTGTGCTAACAAACTTTGGGTGCTGTGTTTAGCATATTAAATGTCCTTATAATGCTCGCTACAGAGAGCAAGTATGATTTGCCCAAGTCACATGGCTCAGGCAGAGTTAATGGCCAGTGGGCTACACACAACCTCTGATGGTCATTGTCCACATTCTTAACCCACCATCACCTTCCAAAGCTGAGCCCATGCTGGGCACAATGCTGTCCGTCACTCCTTCAGAGCAGTCATCCTACCTGCAGCCCTCTCTTGTCACAAAACGGGATGTCCTCACCTTTCTTGGTGGTTCTCTGGAAGATGCGTGCATTTTCCCCCGTGGTGAAGAATTTGAAGTAGGTGCAGTTTGCTTCTGTGTGGTGCATGGAAAAAACAGGGGGAGGTAATGACATGAAGTTTTGTGTAAGCTCAAGGCTGGATATTCCCCAGACACTACAAGGAACTAAAAATACAGTATCAGTATGGCTGACACACAGAGGAGAGGAGAAAAATCAGGCCGGTAAGGTGGTTCAGCATATAAAGACGCTTGTTGCTAAGCCTGATGACCTAAGTTCAATCCTTGGAATGGAATCCACATGGTAGAAGACTCCTGTGGGTTTTCCTAACACACACACACTCTCTCTCTCTCTCTCTCTCTCTCTCTCTCTCTCTCTCTCTCTCTCACACATACACACACACACACACACACACACACACACACACACACACATTGTGAGAGGGGAATAAACTAAGTGTACAAAGGTGACAAATGACACTGAAGTATAAATACACTTTTCACGTCACTGATGTCTGGAGACTGAGGTTTTAACCTCAAGCCCTTTGATCTAAGTCTTTGACACAAGGGAACCATTAACTTCTCTGGCACTCCGATTCTTCCTCTTTAAATGAGTTGATAATCTCTCTCCTGGCTCTTTCATGTGAATCTGAGGAGCAAGTGGATTGAAAGTGAGTTATCGTTTTATTCAACAAAGGACACCAAGATGCAGGTACCAAGAGGCTAAGAGACTCAGGAAAGATTCCTCTCCTATGCTGCACACACAAAGGGCTCCTGCAGATTAGCGGGGGGGGGGGGGGGGAAGAAGTAACCTTATTGAAACTCGGGCAAAGGATATGAATAGTTATTCACAGGAGGGCAAGTCTGGATAGTTCACAAGTACATGAAGAGAGACTCTGCTGCAGCAGGAGGCAGAGAAACGCAACTTGAACCAGCAGGGAGATGCCACTTCAGATCAATTAGATGGGCAAATATTGAAAGGGCAGTATCAAGCATTGAAGGAATGAGAGGAGGCCGCCGGGAGTGTAAACTGTCACTAGTCTATTTGTGAAGGACTCTGACAGGCTTAGAAAATGAAGTGCAGGTGTGCAGCAGGCAATAACGGTCCAGTCAGCAGTGGGCCGTGTGTGTGACTGAGGCACAGATGTCACCTTGCAGCTGGGGAGATGGCTCAATGGTTAAGAGCACACATACCACCCCCGAGAGGACCTGAGTTAGGGTCCTGGTACCCATATGAGGGGGCTTACAACAGCAGCTCAATACTAGAGAATCTAATGCCCTTTTCTGGACTTTGTGGGTACCTGAGCACACAGGCACACACTGTCCCCACATAATACACGTAATTCAAAAGTAGAAATCACATAAGCCAAGGTTTTGTCACATAGCAGCCATCTTTATCTATCTACATAAGTACACACTTTGATTCTCAAGATGAATTGTCCTCAGAACACATCTCTACCACTCAGTGACACATGTCTGTGTGTCTATGCCCTATGACACAATAATCTTACTTCTGGAGATTCCAAGAAGAAAAAGAAACACATACAGGACTATAGACAGATATGGCTGTTCTCTGTGGCATTGTTTACGGAGCCGGAGTAGGACTGAATCTTGTGTCCATCTCTTGGGCAATAGACAGTTGAGACAGATACTCTAATGGACATCTTTACAGCATAAACTACAAAAGCATAAAGCAAAAGAAAGAGGTGTGGAAATCGCAATGCTAAGCGGAAAAAATTGCATTGAAAATAGTATAAGTTCACATGATACATGTTTTTCAAATCAAAACACACACGTAGGGCTGGAGAGATAGCTCCAGCGGTTAAGAGCACTGACTGCTCTTCCAGAGGTCCTGAGTTCAATTCCCAACAACCACATGGTGGCTCACAACCATCTGTAATGGGATCTGATGCCTTCCTCTGGTGTGTCTGAAGACAGCTATAGCATATTCATATACATTAAATAAATAATAATTTAAAAAAACAAAAACAAAAAACCCACACATGTATATAAACTCAAACTTTCTATATTTCCAAGCCAAAACATTTGTGCGTGCATACAACGTCAAACACATTAGAGGACTGAATTCATTAGGGGTTTTTTGTTGTTTTTGTTTTTTTGTTAGTTAGTTAGTTAGTTAGTTTGTTTGTTTGGAGACAGGGTATCTCCATGTAGCCCTGGCTGTCCTGGAACTGGCCTCAAATTCACTCAGATCCTCCGGCTTCTGCTTCCCAGGTTCTGGGACTAAAAGTATGTACCACCATGCATCAACTGGGAAATAATTTTTAAAATAGGGAGATGTGGTGCTAACAGGGGCTACACAAGACCTTGTCTTTAAAAAGAAAAAATTTAAAGACAGAGCATAAGAAGGAATTGCCTGACAGAAGCAGGCAATATTCTTTTTGTAAACATATGTAAGAGTCACTAAATACCTTTGCTAACTTAGAGAAAGCTTAAAGTTAACAAACAGAATGTTCTAACTTCCTAAGACTTTATCCTAAACTGACTTTGAACTTGCTATGAAGCCAAGGATAGCCTTGAACTTCTGACACTCCTGCCTCCACCTCCCAAGTGCTAGGACTACAGATGTGCACCACCATGTCTGCTTTATGTGGTGCTGGGATCAGGCTTAGGGCAAGCACTCTGCCGATTTCCTACATCCTGACTCCTAATGTGTATTCTACACTGACCTATTCTTTTATTCTAAGTATGAGGAAACTGAGATACAAAAAAGAAAAACAAAAAAGAAGAATGCAGAACCATAGAGGATAGAGGACATTGGAAAGGCAGCCAGACAGTCTGGAGCAGTGGAGATGGCTAAATCTATGTCAAGTGATGGTATACAGAGCATGCCAGCCCAGGGAAGGATCTGCAGTTTCTAGCGCCAGAGCAGCTTCAAGTGTACAGAGCAACACCAAGAGGCAAAGGGCACTTCCCATGGAATAAAGATGCTCTTTGCAGCCACTTGAGTAAGGGATACAGTCTATGCCCATGAGAGAACTACGGAGTCCCTTCTGGGGCTGGGTGCGGTGTCTGGCATCTCAGTTGGCTGCCAGCAACAGGATTTTATGTCCATGTGCCCCAGAGGATAGGGCAAACTCACTTGGGGAACAGCAGGGTGAGTCTCTCTCTCTCTCTCTCTCTCTCTCTCTCTGACAGCCAAGGGACATAATGGCTGTCTTTTCATTTTTAAAGGGAGTTATTTCTTTGAGACAGTGGAGTCCAGGATAGGTCCTCTGATAATGCAGAATTATAGAGAGCTGGTAATGGCCTTGGG